CCCGGCCCGTGACTTGAGAGAGTCTCCACCGCCTTCAAGCTATAGTAACGTGCCATGGCTAGACCGTTTATTTAGCTTTAGTGCTTACCGGGCTTCATTCGTGATTACAGCTCATATCAGGGGGAGCACGGTGATTGAATATAACTCAAATTCCTACTCATTCATTAATTACTGAATAGCTGCTGAAAACTGTGAAATTTTTAGTTAATATGAGGTAATTAGTAACTTTAATATTTTCTAATTGAAACAGAGGGTCTTGCCCTTTACCGTGACTGAATGGCTGATGGCAGAATGCACTTTTAATCAACAAAAACTCGAACTTACACGTGATTGGTGCTAACATCGATAATGAGTGTCTTTTTATTGTACTACTTGAGTCTATGATTATCTAGCACATTGGGCTCCTCTCTGGCCTAGACTACACCTTGTACAGTGCTCCTTGTCTCTCATGTTACTCAAAAGACCATTGATATATTGCCCGTGATGAATAGCCATTCAGCTCAGTATTTACCCGTGGAATTCGGCCACCTTTTCCATGCAACCTTCTACCCAATTAGTGCTAACATCGGTAATGCTGAATTTTGTATCACAAAAGGGTATGCAAATATTTTTAATCTTTGAGTTATCAAGCCCTCGTTCTTCGAGGTGGATATATGTTTGCATGCGTTAGATCGATAGAGCAGCAGGGGTTATCTCATCACTGATTTTTTGCCTCCCAGCCTCTGCTGGTAAGATTAACCCACTCTGTATCAGAGTCCTACGTCTCCATTTCATTTGCGCCGAGGAAAGTAGAGACTGGGTTCGAGGGGCCAGCTATCAGATGGCTGGTGTAGGACATCTTTATGATACTAGAGGGCTATTTTGGATTAGACGAAGAGGATAATTAGTGTAGATCCACTGTGTCTCTGGTGCTCGAAGCAGTTCAGCGCAACGTGATCCAAGGAAAGGAATATTCTAGTGCTCAAAACCGGTCCCATGGGCAGTGGTGATCGAGAAAAACTTGGTTACGGCACTGAGCGTACGCTTCCACCCAAAACGGTGTGCGAGGGTCAAAACAACTAGCAACGTAGGGAATCTAGTAAGGCCCCGTTCCAACTAGAATGGTACGAGACCGTCACAACGGCTCGATGGACGAGACAGGAAGAGATCTTCTACATGAAAGGCTGAAGTAACATACTTTCCGGGCCTGTAAACTGTTTCAGACTAGCTATGATTCCCTCAGGAATTTGCCGACAGCTAGGCTCTGCATTCCCGCAAAAATGCTCAAAGGCGCATCCAGCTTTTTAGCCTCTGAATGAGGGCTGGTTTGCTAGTGAATACATCACCGACTCGTGTCTTAACTAGATCGAGAGGCCGTTGATGTTGAGCGGCGTATGGGTAGATTAAGGGTTCTGCCGAGAAGCTCATTACTAGATAATGGGAGGGGGAGGAAAGAGCTGGTCAGGAGAACTCTGCGCCAAAGCATGCAGTGCGGCATTACGCACTATCTGCACATGTGTCGAGAAATTTGAGGCTAGACTTAGGGGTTTCTGATGGACGTAGAGTCAGTTTGCTAGCTAGAAAATGCAATGCACCGCCATTCTAGACTGAAGTTGAATTGCAGATTGCTGTATGGCTTAGATGCCGGGGCATAGAAAGTTGCGCAGCCCCCATTTATGAAGGATCCCACATACCTAAACCCAGATTCTTCACTCCACCTTGGTGATTATCGTAGATGGAGCCGGCTCATAAACTTCATCGCTACGCCTACCGGCGCTCAGGTCCAGGCGGGCCATTTTAGTGGTCGTGGAGACTGCAAATGATCCGCTCTGTCGACTTCGGCAAGAGACACTGCTGCACACCGATTGCGGAGCATATGCTTCCCCGCATTTGACGAGACTCATGACTCCTGAGAGCCTGTGCTAGCCTGACTAACATCCCTCCTTGGCGGGCTCATGTAGACGCGCAGCTAAGTATGCGAATAGCCGTGAACCCGGGTAAAGAGCAATCGGCTCGTCGCTTGGCTTGAAAACGTAGACCTTAAGGCTCGCTTTGCCTCCCACCAGCGGTGGAGAAATTAGCCAACGGTCCACTGTTCTAGGCTCTCAACTCTTGCTGTCCTACTCTAAGCCCATGGGAAAGTAGAGTCTGTATTTCTTTCCATTACTTAGCCCAATTTGCGCGTTGCAACCTGCCCCTTGAATTTACAGATGATGCGCCTGATCACTAATGCACTGCTTCTGAACAAAGAGCCCGGGATTTTCAGTGAGCCATGTCCATGCTTCTCGAGGTGCCCCTTTCGGCGAATAGAACGTGCAGTACTGTAAAGAAAATCGAATTTGGTTGAATTATGGCTGGTCTCGCCTTGCCATGAAGCCAGATGATATGAGCTTGTTGACATTGGATGTATGGTAGACTCGAGTTCCATGGAGATATAGTTCTCGCCTGGGTAACTAATATTCTATGCGTAGGAGCGCCGATAGCAACAGAGTGTCCTACGTTAATAGTCCTAGATGCCCATGACTAAACCGAATATTCGACGACTCAAGTCATGTGCTATGTTTGTTCGCACAGCCCCTGGGCGGAATTCCTATACTCCGCCTCGGCCTCAAGCAGCTACACTTATTGACGTTAGATTGTCCCAAACTCTCGCAACACTTTGCGCCTGTGATGTGAGGCTCTGGTCCTTGTACACTGAGATGTTGATATCACCTAGTGGACCAAAGTTATTGTTTTGACATCCCAAGCTCTATAAGTAATGAAAGCCCTGACTGAATGCCACCGTGCCATCGTTGATTTATGAATCGAAGGCCCAATTAGGCTCGATCACTGTTGGTTGAATATAACGATCAGAACCGCACAGCCAGATTAATTTGTTCCCCGTCAGTTCATTCACCAATTTCGCTAAAACTGGATTACACAAGAAACGATCGGCCGTATGTTGATAGACCCGAGTTCCTGGGATATTGCTTGTAATTAGAATAGAGTTGAACAGCTCCGACCGTTCATCAGGGGCATTCCTAACAATCAATTATCGTCTCATCAGCTACCATATTAGATACAACCAACGCTTTTCCATGCGAGTTCTTCATGAAGTTCTCTAGGTTAGACATTTGGTGCATTTATATCCGTGTGACGCCGAGACCAAACTTCATGTATCGAATATCACAGTCAAACATCGTTTCGAATGCTTAGATCGACGCTGTTTGACGGGATATTTGTGAAGCAATATCCCACGTCCGTGGCGTAGAGTACTTTTCGTACTCTACGCCGGCAGTCGTGAAGCGTCTTTCGATGAAATTAGTTCGCCCACGGCGGACTTGCCACGGCTCATTCAGGGCGTATCGCTGTATCGTCATGTCACCCTCCCAGTGACATCTTTGTGACCCAGGGATAGTTAGGCTCAAATCAGAGCCACTGTAGGTCGATCACATGGAGGTCAGACTCTCCAGCTGCAGCTACAAGTGGGTATGGTGCGTCTGACCACCAACATGCATGACAGATCAATCCGATAGCCTCAATCAGGCATGCACGAGAAGATAATTCATAGGGTTCAATGGCTGAGTAGCCCAGTAAGCAGCCATCGCAGTGCCCGGTCCACTCCGAGAGGCTAGGGCTCAGTCTTGCCGCGTCTATCCACAGAGAGTAATGCACATTTGTGCACAGCTTATGTACTCCCCTAGAGACAAACGTAAGACATTGCTCCTCCATCTCGACACTAAGCTCCCGCCACGCCAAATCACCTGGGGCTCATAGGTTGTCCCCAAAGATTGGCTCGGTGCGCGCGAGAAGCTAGTGCTTTCTCCTCCCCGCAAAACTATCTGCTTGTGGCAGTCAGGCTCTGAGACCGCATAGCTACGGCGCATTTCCGCGGCCATGGTTTCGCACTTGGACGCCGAACTCGGGTAGCTGCGTCGTTCGGCCCGACTGGGCGCGAGTTGGTTTAGTAGCATTTAGCACCTCTTTAGTCTTGCTCACCCCTAATCTTGCCGATTTGCACTCATACGTACCAAGAGTGTAGCGGTGGCGATCGAATCTCTGCATAGATGGTGAATCTGACAATATCTAAATCGTAAATAGGGTTCCGGATAGTTTGGCTCGGCTCTGTTTGGCGGAGTGTCCGAAACCGTTTGCAGTTTGGGTTGACGGCTTCCCGACCACAAGATATCCGCGTGCCAGAGCCGCTTGGTAGATTGAAAAGGGGTATTATCCGCAGGCATCTGTCGGTTCGTGACAAATATGTCAGTTGAAAATTAGGGATCGTACGAATCATTTTCTGCCGTATGTGACAAGCCTGGAGGAATTTCACCAGATTGTATTTGATGGCCTGAGGCGAGAGAAAAAGAATAAATCTCACCGAAACACCTTATCTAGTTGGATCGTCATCGTGCGCATAGGGGAGCCGGGAAGAAGCAACCATAACAGTATGGAGCAGGGCCCGATCCTCGCATGGCCTTTTTCCTCCCCTCTTGGATCTGCCAGATGCACATTCAAGTGACCTATTCTTACCCCTACTCAGCTTATATTTACTTTCGAACTAAGACCGTGTATTTGGAACCCATGACAGCCGCCATCCCGTCCATGTCATCACCCCTTGACCTTTCAAGTTTATCGTCACTTGGCTATTCCTTGATCGACCATCGCGCCACCCATGGTGGTTTGAACTGTTTTCAGCATCAAGAAAAAGTATATTCACCTGTTGATAATAATTGGTAGTTAAAGGGCTCATCGCATAAACTTACTTTTCTTCCATATTATTGAAAGCACAATCGCTCTTGCACAGATACATACTCCCCTCACCGCTGTCGATCAGGCTATCCTCATTCTCAACTCCACGTCTTTTTCACCATATATCTTGCTGCAACAGAGGATAAACGGACGATTATCTATCGGAATTTAGATAAAGTCTTGTACAATACCTACCTACTCGCTCATCCTTATCTAGCCCTACATTGTCTCGCAATTCTGGCAATTGTATCAAATTCCAGATTGATTGATTCACAGTTGTAGTGGGCCTCAGTATGGCAACCTACAGTGTAGTCCAAACTCTCAAAAATGGAAAGATAGTGGCGCTAGAAGGAAATAGTGATCTAATAGCCACCCAACTTCGTCTACTACCGCCTTCGCCCAACATTCTAACACTTCAGGCCTTTCAGGACTGTATTAACAAGGGAAATAGATGCGCTAAAATTGAGCCACGTATTTTTGTAAGGGACGTTTACACGGTTTTGGAGGAACGACTGGATGCTGCAAGAACCTTTCTCGACGACAAGGGAGATGGCAATGCAAAGATCGTGTTCATGAACGGTGGAAGCGTCAGAGCTCGATCAATTTGTATCGAGGAAATCTGCCAAAATGTAACAAATGGCCAGATTGGAGTAGCCGAAGCACTCTTCAACGAGATAGTCAGTAATCACGTTGCCGGACTAGTTCAAGACGAAAATAGTCAACAAGAAAACTATTCAAAGACGAACGAAATTAATAATCATGAAGCTAATAGATTGTCGCAAGGAAAATGGCTGTTCAATCTCAATTCCGAACAAAAATACGGTCACCTCGAACAAGCTTTGGAATGCAAGTCATCGCCATATTCCGGAACTGGATCACTACCAGTTCGACAACTCTTACAGAATTCATCAGAGCTAATAGATAGTGACAGACGCCGTGCAGCATCTGTTGATTCTCCGTTGGTCACAGCAACGAACTTCAAACCCTCATTACCGAAAGCTATCTCACCGCTAAAATCGCAACAAGATCTGCCTTTTCGCAATCCACACATTTCATCCTCATCTGTCACGGAGATCAATGCCAGATCTACAAGCCCAACAGGAGGACAAACACGTGTACTCGTCCGACCTAAATCTGCTACTCTTCAGCCGTCATCTCCCGCTTCTAGATGTCTTGTTTTTTCCAAATCAGAGCAGAATTTGGGCAAAAAATTTCATTTACCAAGTGGGGCTCAGACTTCTATCTCTCAAAATGCTCATTCAAGCCTTCCAACATTCCTAAAAGCATATCAAAATACAATTGTAGGGAGTCCAACGTCTAACCCTGATACAAACACTTGCAACCAAAGCAAATATGTTGATAAAGGCAGTGATGCCGAATTATTACCGAGAAATCGACAAAATTTTAAGCCTCACCCATACCAGTCCGTATTTGAATTACCCGAAGATTTCATCATTCACATTACGGGAGGAATTACAGAACTCGTTTTTGAATCAGTTCTGCGCTCTTATCAAGACGGGAAGGTTCCGAGTCTGTTCGCTTCATCTACAAATATAAGTTCTCCAAATTCTTTTGGAAGCGCATTTAATTCACAATCTCCGGAGCGAGAGAAGGAAAACGAGTACAATATGAAGAATTATTCTATTCCCGTCATGACTCGTTCGTCTATACCTCATGGAAAATATGATCCTCCAACACCTTCTCATACTCCGCCCCCGAACAGTTCGCATAATAGTGCAACAGGTTGTAAGATATTAACGTTATGTCCTATGACACCATCTAGCGTTGTGTCAGTCCAAAATTCACTGCGTAAACTTCTGAGCAGACATTTACCAGCAGGTAGACAAGCCTTCAAACAAAATCGCTTCTCAACTTCGTCAGAAGCAGAGAGGCTCTGGAAACCTGTATTTGGAAATAGTCAATTTTGTGAAGATGGATCAGAGGCTACAACAGTCGACCAGATTATTGCCCTAGGAAGTGAAGATAGAGTTAGTGAAGGTTTCACGCAGCGTATTTTGGGCTTGCTTGCGAAACTAGGCGCTAAGAAGAGTGGTGTGACAAGAAGCAGTATTCTTGATATAAGGTAGAGCAGGCGATACAAATAGAAGAACTAGCTAACCTCCACAGATACTTGGCAACAAATGCCCTGGAGAGCTCCAGCTCCGCACGAGCTCGATTAGATAGTTACGATCCATTTACAGATCCCTCGGAATTTGCGACAATGCTTGTACCACAACTGGAAACATATATGGCAACTAATCCATCAACCCGACTGCTTATTCTTCATTATCCTCCATCGTATCTTCCGATAGTCCTTGCCCTACGCGGACTACTCGGTGGTGCGTTGTTTCAAGTATCAGGTATCATAAACGCTCTTGCATCTGATTCGCCCCCTAGCCCTACCGTATTGCCACCATTTGCGCCAAACCCTTTATCAAACGATGCAGTGGCACTCCGAAATCGAAGTCGTCCTCAATCTTCCCGAGTCAATGCCCCCTCTGGTCAACTCGTTTCATCAACTCCATGTTCGCCATTGTCAATTGGCCAACTCAGTATTCCTGCTGCGGCTTTTTCCAGAGCTGATTATGTGCTTCCAAGTACAGCTACATCAATGGAAATCAATAGCTACATCATCGATATTCGCAAATTACTCATCGAGAAATCAGAATATTACGTGGCGGAGCCGGAGCCGGAGCCCTTGTCAATCATCCAAACTATCGAAAAAGACATACTAACTCCCTCCCCCAGTATTTCCACAGCTACACCTAGGCCTTCTACTCGGGAAAAGCCACTATCTCAGGATGGATACTCCCACTCCAAAAACAGAAGGTACAGCAAAGTTTCTCGACTAACAGGTAGTACCAATTTAACAAACCCACTTTCTGAGTTCAAAGCTAAGCATAGCTATACACCATCAGTCGCCTCCTCCCGGCGCACGTTTGCCTCTAGCATAAGTGCCGATGTAGATGGCTGGGAAAACTTCGATATCGACGAGGCCGACAGCGACTTCGATGAATACGATCGAATGATTATGGGAAGTCGAATGATCGCGTTGGTCGTCGGAAGACATATGCTCGGATCTTCATATAATCCTTACACGGCCCCAGAAAGGCGTGCAGCCAGTAAGCGAAAAGCACTCAAATGGTTAGGCTTGGCATAGCTCTACTCAGACTAGGGTGCAGCTCCACTCACAAAGACTTTATGTTCCTGTTTTAACAGAATACTTGGCCCGGCGCTTATATTACATTATCTTATGGGGTAGCGATTATATTCAGTCTGACATTTAAACCATAGGGGCAAGTATGGTACTCGGGTTATGCACCCTCACTTTACAAATCCAAAAGAAGAACTGCCATTGAGTGAAAGTCTTGCTTGTCGTATTTTATACAACTTCGGAAATTACCTTGGAATATCGGCATGACGCCCTTTTTTAAAACAAGGAATTCGCCTGTCTAAGAATCCTAACGCGATATTTCTTATGTTATCTTAACGTCGACGGCCCAGTAAATCTTGGGATTTTTTTGTTACAGGCGAATGGAGCAATAGCGAATGAGGAATGTGGATGGAGTAGGGGTTAATTGCATTCATTCATCTTAGTACGGTCAGCACTGAACACATATTTCTGGGGGATTGAAGGTTTATCATTAGCTCTCTTGTGACTGTCTGCCGAAAATTGAATTAGTACAGATTTTATCAGATTTAGAGCACGATAGTTTATTGTACCCTATCTTAATTTCGATGAATCAAGTTATCGACAGCGTAAGATATCGGCGTCTGAATCTGATCGCTCGTAGACCGTCCTTTTCCTGTCCAAACGTTAAACCAAAACTAGCATAGCCAGTTGCAGCCATTCTACATTCAATAGATCTTCCCTACCATCTCACTTTACCGCAGATATGTGAAAGGAGTGAGTGAGTGATTATTGCCCTAAAAAGTCTATAACTATGTAAGGACATGTAGGTTCTCTGCCTACAGGCTAGGAGTATTTATGCCTCGGGTAGTGTACTCCCTCCTGTGACTCCCTCACGACTTCTTTCCAGCAGTAATACCCCCACAGGTCTTCATTCGAGTACACAATAAGAGGAGCCGTTATCCCGTCATAATCTCCCCTCTACAGCCAACGAAACAATGGCCATTTGCGGGTGTGTAGCTGCAGGGAAAAGTCTCAAAAACCGCTGGGTGTGGGGCTCTCATATGACGAAGAGGCCGGCCAGCCGGGCGCAGCAGACCTGTGTATACCTAAAAGTGTCTCTCAACCTTCCTAGCCTACTCCTTTCTCCTCCCCTGATTCATGCCGCAGGACAAATCGAAGGTCGTGTAAGGATATCAGAAAAGTCTTGGTCGAGAGTGATTGTCGTGAAGGAGCCTAGCCTAGCATCCAAAAGTCGTTACGGACGTGGGGTTGTCGAGTAACTCATGTATTTCAGATGCCCTCCTGGCTAGTAGATTCAGAGATATAAATTAGTAGGGACGATACTGTAGACGAGTCGAAATCTGCTTTTCTTGAGAGCGGAAGGGTCTTTTACTTTGCTTTCGTGGGCTTTTTGTTCGCCCGCCGTTGGGTAGCACATGTTGTGATATAACGAGGGCTTCTTTAACTATCGTTGTAGCGTTTGGTACCGCATTATCTTTCCTCATTCCCAGCATCATTATCATCGTCTTTGTCGTCTCATGTGTTGTCGGAAGCGTATCATTGACGGAAGGGGATATAACTCAGCTCAAAGTTGATAAGATGTTACTCAATCTCGGCTCTGTAGACTCTACAGGGAGAGCTGGAGGTTCGTAGGGGACACCACTGACAGGTGTTGAGAATAGTCCCCCACGTGAAAGAAGATCATCTGTGCTTAAACATATTAACTTGGTGACCACGCAGAACGTACAATCTTGATTTATAAAGAGACCATCTAATAAAGATTGAACAACTCTTTTACGCCAGCCATGTTTGTAGTTCAGGTTCAGATTGTGAATGACGGATGAGATGATAATATCGCATAGATTTCCTGATGCAATTTGGTGCTAAAAGCTGTCCTGATAGGAGCAGACATTGCATGTCTTTGCACGGGATATATACGATGTGTAATTTCAGTGCACTAATAAGCCTAAAGCTATTTTACATAAAAGTAAATAATCGTTGTTGATTTCATTACTCGAGTCTAAGACAATCAAACACATTGAGCTGCTGGGTACGGGGGATTGTTCTCAAAACCTGTCAGTGGTGTCCCTTACAAACCTCCAACTCTCCCCGTAGAGTCTGCAGAGCCGAGATTGAGTAACAAATTCCTCACTTCGACGAGGATTCCCAATCGTTTTCGCGGTCTGTATCGTCTTTATCCCTAAGCACATCCCCCTATCACCATTATCATGAAGCTAACCACGATCAGATCAGATGATAGGATCGAAGCCCTACTCGTCACCAACCCTTGATCTTGGAGGAAAAGCCATCCGATGAGTTTCCGGAGCGTACCCAGCATCCGATACGGAGATGGCGGATTGGATCAAGTCGGCCTCGACTGTTACAAAGAAGGGAGATATAGATGAATATGCGCACCTCATGTGGTCCTGGTATCTAGGCCTCGCCTGGCTGGGGCTACAGGTCTTTTTGAGACTTTTTCCCGCGCACGCAGCTTCCATTACTACCTCTTATTTTATTCTTTTGTGGGTAAAGAGTTCCGTGGAAAAGGTGGCTGAATTCCACTGGTAAATACTGAGCTGAATGACCATTCATCAAGGGCAACATATTAATGATTTTTCAAGAAAAAGGAGAATAGGAGCACAGTACAAGGTGTGGCCTGGGCCAGGAAGGAGCCCAATGTGCTAGAGAGTCTAAGACTCAAGTATAACAGCAAACAAACCTCTCTTTATCCAGGATGCGCAATCCGAGTGTATTTGTAACTTTCTTAAGTTCAGGCCTTCTATCCCTGGCTACATGACGGTAAGCCGTGCAGTATTACACACTAATAGAATTATAAATATGTTTTTATGGACCAATTGAACCCACTTCCTTCTCAAGACAAGAGTCATAAGATCGTGGATTATGATTCATTTGAAACACACCACCCCAAACTCTTGACAAAGTCCACGCATGAGGATATTCTTTTCTACTGGTGGCGAAATAACATAGTGCAGATAGAGGATTGGACCGAATTTCTGATGACGATTCCTGTTAACATAGATCCTGCTTTATATTCCCAATTTTCTGCCCATATTATACATCATGCGAGTATCTTGCCGAGCTACATTAAATCTGCATTCAACGCCAATCCAGCCTAGCCTACAGCGCCTGATCTTGACCTGAATACAATAATTTTTTACTTCAACTTTCGCTCCGTTGTCTTTCCCAAATCCTCGCTCCAAAAAACTGGGCAAGGCGCACCTTCGCCGTGCCCATCTCCTTTCATTCCACCTAGTAGCCAGTCCGTAAGGGCAACAACCTTGGCACCAACACCTCTCTCCCAGTTGCCACCTTCCTGGGCATGTTCGATTGTGTGAACCAATATTCTTCCTTCTTCGTCAAAATCAAAAATAAATAGCCCAGTGAACTCTGTGCTTTTGATCGTGTTGATGCCATGATATAAGGCCCCAATTCCTTGCTCCTGAGGCTTACCAACGGTGCACCAGCGGACAACAAGCTGTTCCTTTCTTTCAGCGGGAGTTGTAGATGTTGAGGCCTGTCGAATCATACGTTCTGATATAATTTGCAGCTTGACGTTACTAATAAGTGGTAAACGACCCCACGCAATAGGTGATGTCCATAAGGCAGCTGAATATGCAACACGCCCGGTTACAGTAGGTAAGTGCGGATGGGTGGAGGGAAATAGATGCAAGGTTATTTGAGGTGACAATATTTCCGGAGGCAGAGGTTTTTGGAGCAGGGTAGGAAGTCGTTCTTGAAGAATACGAAGGGCTACATATGTAATTAGCGGGCATTCTTTAGGAGTTGTGCGAAGGGTTGCTTGCTTTTTCCCAGCTTCAGAGTTCGTGTGTCTGAGTTAGCTGTATTTGTTTCTCTCAGTCCAAACGGTCCAGGGGTGATAAAGTCAGCGCATAGGTTTGGGTCTCGGTTTACCGTGATAAAATATTGCTGTATTCGACCGGGACTTTCTCCTGTTTGAAACTTGGTGGACTTAGTTGCAATAGAGCTTTGGTAAGCCCTAATAGCAACACTGGTAAAGGTTTGTGAGAGATGGCGTGGGAGCCGAATATGCGTCAACATCAGCAGCCGGCAAGCTTGGGCGCGTCCCAAGATACATGAAGACGGTAAGAGTATCAAAGGAAATGGTTAGGTGCGATTACCTGTGCATTGAGTGACATCAAACAAGGATGAAGGCGATTCTTCTGTACTTTCCAATATTACTTGCTTACAGCGATCACGTGGATGTTCACAATCCATGTTCTATGTCACTAATCGACCCCTTAGCTTGGCAAGTGGATACATTGTACAACCGAAGACTGAAACGACCTATTCACGTTTCAGCGGTTCCGTTGTAAACGGTCAACCCGCTCCCCACAACTATGATATCTAAAAATAATCGCTCTGGATTCAGACTCAAGAGCAAACGTTGGTATATTTCTAACCTACAGCCTCTCATCATTGGTCATAATACTTTCATGCGAATCCTCTAACTCAATCTCACCATCTCGCTCGAAATAACTATCATTGAGCAGCTCTAATTATAAACGGGAGCTCGCCTCATTAATCACCGGCCATCTTTTTTTTTGCATCAGAATTTAGTTGCGTATGCAGCTATCTAGCTATGACACAATATCAAAGAAAATTACAAAAAAAATGACTCAATTTACAAGAAGAGTACTCATGCCTCAGATTTCATTTGCAAGTACCACTGCGAAGTTATGGCGGCTTTTTCTTCACCCCAAGTAAACCCTCATCCGTGAATACCCACCCAGAGAAACGTCTCAAAAACCCTGAGTTATCCAGACATGCCTCCATCATCTTTCAACTTTTCTCCGCGCGAAATATGGTCTGAGGTGTCTCCTTACCGAGTGGAGTAGGTGCCCAGGCTACTCGAACCATACCAGAGAACACCACCAGGAGGCGCAACACAACACTTTCCATCGTCTGCTTGTTTTTATAGAGTTAGCTGCACTCTCGCAAGCGAAGTCTTGGCGCGCACAAAGCCCAATTTGTAAAACTCCTTGCCAAAATTCGAAAGTTCATGCGCGTCGAGACTGTATCCATTCTCTGCATCATCTCGTGAACTTGTCCTTATCCCTCTCACGTCCATCCCTGTCAGGCGCAGGTTCACTAGGCGCAAGACTCGAGGCGTAGGAGAGGGCGTAGCGTACGATGTACTGAGGAAGGACGCCTCGTGGGAACGCGGAGGGCTTTCTCGAGAAGTGGTAAATGGGAAAGCGGGGAGTCGTTCTAGATGGAGGGGCCGGAGATGACGGTAGGTCACTATGGTTGGCAGAGGACGAGAGTGAGATGTGATTAGAATAATGTAACTATTCCTAAAGACAGAAAACAAAGCGTGAAGATTTCAGTGTCGGAAATAAAAACTACAAACCTATCCTTGCTAGGCAATAAGCCTAGTGGTAGGAGGGCCAGACTGAACACCTGTATGTGGTGCCTTCTGCGAACCTGAGAGTGAAATATTCTCCCAGAGCCAAGTTCAGTCAAATTTTGCAATATCAAAGAAGTTGGCCCACGAGGCAATAATCCAAATTACTCATCCACGTCGTTATTTCGCTCCCAACGAGTTTGCCCCTATCTTCGTCTCATCGAGTCTACAAGTACGACCAAGTACATCCTCATTTCAATGATCACACCTCTCGTCGACTTTCTCTGGCCTCAGCTGGTCACCAAATACACGCCCGCGCCGATATTTACACCCGACGGAGGAAGCAAAGCGCAGCGCACAAATCTGGGAGACAGTTCTTTGGAATGGACGTGAGAGGGGTCAGGACAAGTTTACAAGATGATGCAAATAAGGGATTCATTCTCGATGGGCATGAAATTTTGAATTTTGGCAAGAGTTTTACTAATCGAGCTTTGTGCGCGCCAAGACTTCGCTTGCGAGAGTGCAGCTGACACTATAAACACAAGCAAACGATGGGAGGTGTTGTGGTCCGCCTCCTGGTGGTGTTCTCTGGTATGGTTCGAGTAGCCTGGGCACCTACTCCACTCGGTAAGGAGACACCTCAGACCATATTTCGCGCGGAGAAAAGTTGAAAGATGATGGAGGCATGTCTGGATAACTCAGGGTTTTTGAGACGTTTCTCTGGGTGGGTATTCACGGATGAGGGTTTACTTGGGGTGAAGAAAAAGCCGCCATAACTTCGCAGTGGTACTTGGAAATGAAATCTGAGGCATGAGTGCTCTTCCTTAACGATGAATCATCTATTCTGTACTTTTCTTTGATATTGTGTCATAGCTAGATAGCTGCATACGCAATTCAAATCTGATGCAAAAAAAAAAGCCTAGTGGTGCTAAACAAGGAATCCATAAATCCTGCCTGAGGCATTTATCCGGAATCCTTACAATCCCAAAGAACTATCTTCCAGATTTGTGCGCCACGCATTGCTTCCTCCGTCGGGTATAAATATCGGCGCGGGCGTGTATTTAGTGACCAGCTGAGGTCAGAGAAAGTCGACAAGAGGTGTGATCATTGAAATGAGGATGTACTTGGTCGTACTTGTAGACTTGATGAGGCTTGGATAGGATTCGAAATTGTTGGGTGTGAAAAATCGACGTGGCGGGGTATTTTGAATCATTACCTCATGGGCCAACTTGTTCCTTATTACGAAATTTGACTGAACTTGGCTCTGGGAGAATATTTCACTCCCAGGTTCGCAGAAGGCACCACATACAGGTGTTCAGTCTGGCCCTCCCACCGGCCATCTACTACTGTAAAATTCCGATACTTCGTTTTGTTTTGTTCATTAACGTGCTAGGTTACATGGCTACCGTTGCACTCCTACTGGAGCTTAAGCACGTGTGGGGTTGGGCCGGATCAGGTTAACTACCGTGAAGTACAGATAAACCTCGTCCCACTTTAATGACCGGACCACCCCAGACTTCACCTATGTGTTGAATCATACCAAGCCTGACTGTCCAGAAACCCGCTGTCGACACGCTGAAGCGCAAATTCCTCCTCAGACTCGGCCACCACGCGCCCGAGCCCTTGACATCCTCATTGACTACGAAATATAAATGCCGTCCAAGATCTCATCGTTGCTCTGGCCATGCATCTTCATATCGTACCTGTGACAGAAACCTAGTTGGTAATGAATAAATCGATTTATTAAACTATATGAAGAGAAAAGAAAACTCTAGCTACTACTAACAGGTACTTATAACGTTTGGTCCGCTTCGTGAATCTGCTGACTGATAACTTTCCCCTAGGCCTAATACTTGCTACTGAGCCAAGTATTATCAGGAGCCATTACGCTATGATGTTGCTTCGACCTCCTGGCTAGTAGTGCCATTTCATCTATATTTGTCAATCTTTCCTCTTTCAGTCTTATTGTAGTTATTCCCAATTAAACGCTTAGGTTTCCTCCTAAGCTTAAACAACGGTCAAACCGTAACAGTACCGTTGGGTTGTTTTCGTCATTGGGGGTTTGTGTAAACCTGTATGAATATTGGCGTTGGTAGGGTACCTATGGGAGAAGTATACGGATATTAGTCACGTGGTGTCAGTGCGGCGTTGGGGTTTACTTCCGTTCTGTACTCATGATAGATATAGATAGATATACGTTTTTTAGATCAATAACTCTGTTACCCATTCTTTGTGCTAGCACATAATCTTGAACCGGTGATAAACCGACAAAACCCCTCGGTGTATCTTACCTTTTCTTCCTCCTTTGTACACGTCCTGTTTCCATCATAACTTTCCACATTAGGCCGTGCGTAGGAAGGTGATGTGACGAGTGTAGAAGTGGGTCGCAGGTATATGATCGACTGAGAAATGCTTCGTCGCAAATATAAAAGGAATTTGAGAGAAGTCGGATGTTTGAATACGACCCCCAGATAGACCTAAATCCATTCGTGAATCGTATGTTGGTAGTGACGAGTTCTTGTTCAACTTTCTACCGGCTGTGAAATCTCTGCCGACTAATTTATCGACCAAAATATCGAGTGCAAATCCTTTAAGTCGAGAATCCTAGAACATAATTCATCCCACCCTTTTTCGTGACTGAATCTCGGCTCTAGGAGAATATTTCACCCCCGGGCTCGTAGAGGACACCTCTGACAGGTGTTCAACCTTCGTCCTCCGTCCAAAATAGTAGTAAAAAGATAAGGGAAAAATAAGGGTGCGTCAGATATATATCCTAACTACATACTGGAAGGGGAGGTAATATATCCCGTGACACTGCGGCCCAAATATTCTCTTAATACTTCCTTAAAATAATGACATTTATACCGTTACCTGGAACTAGCCGAGCACCCAGAGGGCTTGGTGCTCCTCACAACCTCAATCCCAATATTGTTGCGCGCACTCATCGCCGTTAGTTGTAAGCCAAGTTTTCTTCCACATCCTTTCTTTTCACCCATTTAGAGTGTATTCAGTAATCTAGATATGGCATATGATCAGTGCTATGTATACATATTAGATGACTCTTATGAAGTTAGAGACACTCATACTCTGGATTTCATTTGCAAATAATACTACCAGGTATATATGCTTACACAAATAGTCGATCCTCTGTGAGTACCCAGCAAAGATAAGTTCCAAAAACTTTGATTATCCAACCATGCCTCCGTCATCCATGCACACGAGCACCATAAGAAATGTCATTTAATCTTGCTGGATTCGAACCTGATACTTCCTGTCTCAAATGGAGTAGGTGTCCAGGCTATCCAGAATTTACTCGGGTGACCAACTCAAATGGTGTACCACTGCATCATCTAGCCATGACACTGTTTATAGTGCCGAATATGCTCTGGCAATTGAAGTCGTGTAGCGCACAAAGCCTTTCAATGTGAAGACTTCTTTCTCAAAGTCGAAATCTACCGATTTCCAAGATTGTATCCATCCCTAGTATCCTAGTATCATTTTACCTACCTGTCCTGATAACTCTCCGTTTTATCCCGAATATTTGCCTCCAATGCTTGTGCGTTGCGATTTTTTCTCTAGTGGATATTTATATTCTTCTGGGCTAGTACATGAAGGTCATCCGAAACCAGGGATTGATTGTATGAGAGATTTGGTCATAGGAATGAAGATATACTGGATCACACGTAATGAATTGGCAATATTTTGATGGGAATCGATCTGGTTGGGAATGATTAGCCGTGCGGTCGGAAGTCTTGAATCATTGACTTGTGAGTCAACTTGTTCGGTGTTGCAAAATTTGACTGAACCTTGCTTTGGTAAATATCTCATTCCCAGGTTCGTAGTGTACACCGTAGATAGATGTTAATTTTTGCCCTCCTGTTGAATTTGTCATCTTGCTAGTATTATATATTTCTTGATTTACCGCCCACGTCGTGTAAAGTAAGATGCAGGCCTCGTGCCTAGCACATTTATGTAACGGCGAATCAAATTAAATAATGATACTTGTGTTGTAAATTGCGATTTAATTAGTTATCTATCTAGCACATGGAGTTATATTAAATACATATTAAATGTCTATTTTTAAACTAGTGAGACCCATTGCCCATGTTATAGTCGTAAATTCCATGGTCGAATATATTTGCTTTTTCGACAAAGTTAACTTTTGTCCGTGGATCAGATTAGATTAGATTTTATTATAGTCCTATCTGAGTCCACGACTATAGAGGACTTCTGGCTTCTAAATTAAAGAGACTACAAATTTCGATAAATTCAACCATTTTAATTCCCAATATTTTCTTGTAGATAGTGAGGAACAAGTCCTATATAACTTTTGTCCGTAAGAATATAAAGAAATAAACACTTGGATTTCTCGTGTTAAATAAGCATTTCCTCATCCCTTACAGCATAACCACCGCGTATGATATGACTAGGTTTCGCCCGAAATTAAGTAGCGGCCTCTTGCCTTCGATAGAATTTCAGCGCATGTTATGCGGACTCAAATCGGAAGAAATGTCAAGAACGTGTATCACTATACCATCTGATTATAAAATCGGATTCCAGTAAGCTAATTTCAATATATGACAATTCGGTAATAGGCAACACAATCAATTATCTGATTACACTGAACATACCTCTTAGTCATCTCATTTTCATTCTCCCATTGACTATTATTATCTTCGATTTTGCAAGAATTTGAAGCTCGTTTATAATTAATAGAGATATTATTTAAAATTTAGAAGAGATCAATATTCAGCTCAGACCATCACTGTAGTATTCTCTTTATTGGATGCTGAATTCTTTCAATGCAAATAACTCAAATATTTCTGGTCCTCTGGAAGCAATGCTAGATGAAATTTTGCTAGAAACAGATTTGCTTATATTTATCTGCATTAGACTAGCTCTGTAGCAGGCATAACCACAGAATTCATTTTATAACGATCCTTTACCGCTCGAAACTATGCTTAATCAGTACTAAAATTTGCTCGAATTAGTGAAGAAACGTCAGCTTACCTTGAACCAAAAATTTAAGATCAGGGCCAGCAAGAATGCACATCCTACAATCACAGGCCCGATCCAGTTATCAAAATCCCTCCCACTCCTAGCTATGATCATCTCACGGCGTACTTTTTGAATGTAAAGGCCCCACCAGCCAGTAAACCCAGCGATAGCCAAGTAAAATGCACTAAACCATGTGATTAATTTTTTGTCTTCGGACCTTACTCCGCTTCCAGCAGCATTAAGTCCTATGCCTAAAACAGCAAGTTGAATAGTTATTTGCATCCATTTGACAAAAGTACGCTCGTTAGCGAGCCAGACCTTTGGCTCGACCTGAACTGGTCCCGAGTCCTTGATTAGAGCTTCAGGTTTGGTAACTCCCGGTGGCAAAATAACATTCCGACGTCCTTGCGCATAGCGAGAGGTAGAGAGGACAGGAAAAAGAGAGGCCATTGTTCCATAGCCGCCCTGAATCTTATCCAGGTCTTTCTTTGGAGAATTACTGTTGCTAGAGCCCGAGTTTTGAGGAGCTGATTGCTCCTCAGCTATCATACGGTCCTGTAAGTATGATTTTGATTGAGAGCCAGCACTAGCTTTGAATCTTAAAGCTTTCTTGGAAGTACAAAGTAGAGACCCTACAACCTGTTCGTTTTCAGCCTCTTTGGTTTTACGCTGCACTTCTTCCTCAAAAGCATCATGTGGATCTTTTCGAATATCCACCTCTATATTCGGTAGCCAGAATGGTAAATTGTTAACATTATCTTCAAATAAAACTGCAACACCATGCACGAACTTAGAAAAACGAAGTGTTTTGTATAATAAATGAGAGGCCATCAAGTCCTCGACCCATTGAGGGAACTTTTTTCCATTCTCATCCTTGACCTTGATTTCCAATACTGCATATGGGAACCTATTTATCTCTCCTTGGTTAAGATTAGAAAAAGGATATGTCATATGCATATTATCAACGTCCAGCCTGTGCCAATTTTCAGGGTTTCTGCATGGTCTTCCAAGGTCAATGCAATCCTCTCGAATGAAAGCTAGATTCGTATCGATTGAGATTCGTACCCTATCGTCTAGAGGTTTTTGAAAGGCCGTCCGCATATACTGGGCTCTTAGTACTGGTTGGAGGTCATTTTCTAAGATGAATTTCTGGATATCGGAGAAGGTCTGTTTGAAATGTTCAATTTTGGTCTCTGGTTGCTCCAAATTTCTCATTTTAGCAATACTCTTTTCCATCTTGTATTCCCCGTTTATAAATGGTTGAATATACTTTTCTTTGATTGGAAAGCGTTTTTCTTCACTTTGGCCATTCTCGTGTATTGTTTTAAGTTCAAGGAATAATTCTGACTTTGTACTAAGCTGTCCAAACCAGCGAATACGTAGAGAGCTGCTAGTCTCTTTTCGGTTGGTTTTTTTATCGTACAGTAGAAAATTAGGGCTATCAAAGTAAAGAGAGCAGATTGTTGGATCACTTTGGACTGCCTCGGGATTATTTGAGGCTATGGGACTGTAGACAAGTACTGGAAGCCGTCGTAGAATATACGTCTTGACTTCTAATAAGTTTTCTGGGTGGATCCAGACTTATCTTGATTAGCGCAATTAAATATTAGTATTTTGCTGGGCGGAATTACTTACATTTATATGCCGTATAACGCTCTCCATTGAGTAGCTGGCTCTGATCGTCTATTTTCGTGCCATCCACCTCACCAACATCTTCGTCTAAGTGCTGCCGAAGGGCATAATATATAATGCTCAGTTTGGTCAGCAATGGACTATATTCTAGCTCATTATTAAATGGTCTCTTGCTAAGGCTCATTAAAAGCATAGGACGAATTTTGTAATTGTTGCCGCGCTTTCGATCATGCTTCTTCACTATTTTAAGAAATGCTGTATAGTTCAGTTCGCTATATCTTTTTAATTCTTTAGTTTCAGTGATGATATCATCGAGCTCTGTTTCAATTTCTCTAAAGCGTGCTTTGCATTCTTGCTTCTTCGCGAGGTCATCTTCAGGGGCAAGTTCTTGAAGCTCTGTGGCGGCTTTATTTGTTCGGCTTTCGAGTTCTCTGAACGTTCTCTCCTGGAATGAAGCTACTTTCTCAAGCTGGACATTGAAGATCTCATCGCAAAATTTATTTTCATCATCCTCTGTCCATTTTGTATGTTCTTCGACATCTTCTTTGAGTAAGCTCTTTAGTTTGGCGTAGTCTACATACTGATCCTTCCAACTGGCATTGACCAATTTCCTGAGTGTTCGGCCAAATTTCATTGTGAACGAAGTTTTGCGATGAAACCCCGAATTTTAATTGTCGTCGAGGTTAAAATGGCACCTCTTTCAATGTAGTTGCTGAGCCGTTGCAGGTTTACTGAAGCAATTAGCCGGGTCGTCTTAATGTGTCATCAATCGTCATTAAAGCGTAGTAGTTGCGTTAGACAGGCCGGTGACACCTCGATGTTATGCCGCATGATGCGCTACTGGTCACTCTGGCGTCTCTCATCATCTGTAGCTTAGTGCGGAAGTTGCAGTCCGTGCTAAGTGTAGTCGAAGCCATGGCATTTTTTGGATTAGATCCTTCGCGCTCTGCTCGTGGGCCATACCAAGAATGGTTAGGTTAGTGAACTGGGATTTAAAAACTCCGTTTCAAGACAAGCATAAACATCGTCTCAGGCGTTAGTAGCTGTTTCATGAGCAATCCCCAACACAGGAGTAGGTGGAAGAAGAAAAGACATCTGTCAGCAGCATCCCATACTGACCTCCAGCCCTCACTATGTAGTCCACAGAGCTGAACTTGAGTGAAAAGTTAGACATGAGAGCTTCTATTGCCTTTGAACCTAAAGTATTCTACACTGCCACATACAGCAAAAAGAAATCAGGCCATACTTTAATATAGCTGACATTCTGCGTCAAGACGTTGTCAGAAACCGAACAGGCTCTCCAGGCTATTTTTAGATTCGAATGACTGAAGAGTCGGAAGGTAGCAACAAAGATACAGAGAGAAGTTGCAGCAGGTCCACATCAATTTACAGCATCCAGCTGGCAGGCTCAAATTGACAGTTTTGGACGATAACTTTTTCTTCAAATTCAGTCTCGAGGTCAGTATTACGTGTGCAGTAAACGCAGTAGGTTTTGTCAATTCTTCTAGCTACTACAAACTAGCATGTTCCCTTCGTACCATTGCTCAGGAGTAGGAGAACATGAACTTCGTAGTACTCCTCTTAACTTACAGTTTGGCAAAGGCTTCTGAGGATTGGCATTATTGGAAGGGAGTTTACAAAAATCACGACTTTGAACATGCTACCCGACACGCAAGTCGTCTTAATTGAGAATCCTAAAATTTCGACGTTCTGATAGTCAAAGTTACGGCCTCGCCTCAACCTGGCCTTAGGTACAAAAGCGTGAGTACATGTGGTACGTGCACGTTAGCATATAGTCTCTGTCCGCCTCTATATATATAGTTCATTTTACCTGATTCAGCACCTTGGGGCCCATGCAGGTTTTTATCGGAAGATATGTACATTAATTAGGATGACTCAATTTGACGATTAGAACACACACACTCAGATTTCATTTGCAGATACCACTCGAGGTCAACACTTACGGCGTATAACCTCTTCCGTGCATACCCACCACAGGGAAAAGCGTGAAAACCTTGTGGCTATCCGAGTGTGCTTTCATCATTCCACAAGTACAATATCACCGCGTGAGAGAGTGGTGTGTGGGTCTGACTAGATTCGAACCAGCTATCTCCTGTCTCGAATGAGGTAAGTGTTCAAGCTACTCAGTATCTGCTTTGGAGACGGCCCAGATGGTGTACCGCTGCACCATCCAACCCTCCGCCTCTAGATACTCTCTCCTCAAAGCCAATCTACTTCTTTCATCTCTACATTAGAGCTGCCTTCCTGCCACTTCCTCTTCTCGTGATTGTCAAATAGTGAGAATAAATAATAATGTCAAGGAAATAATAACAGAAGCAAAGATATATAAATTAGTTACACATAAGGGTATCACATACACCATACCCTCTATATCTACTGCAAATTTTTAAAACTTTAATTAACATATTACTGACAATTTGTTGTGTTATCGATGTAGCTTACCATGGTACATGCTTTAGGTCGCGTCAAAGCATATGCACGTAACTGTGGAACTAAACTGTGGGGTGTTTAGTGTGTAATGCATGTGTGGGTATACTGGACCAAACTAGAACTCGATGGAATAGAGATAATGGAATCAGCGAGAGACTGATAGACTAAGAGGGAACGAGCTGGTCATTTCTCGTAGGAGAGAAATGATATCATAAGGGAATGTTCTAGCACTAGGCTGTCAACAACACAGCAAGTCTGGAGCAAGATATAAGGAGGTCTCAACCTCCGTCCATCCATTATAACTAAGTTTCCTTTATACGAGAATATAGAGTCAAGTCTTACATATCACGAGAACACACGCGACAGCGACTATAGAGACCTACTGTGAGCATAACTTCCCCAAGAGTATACATCGTCCTGCTCCCATAAAGTCTGGTTAATATAACACAATTTCATAATGTTTCCATATAGCTTTCGTAGTCCTTCATTTATTCAATCCGAACTGTAATGAAATTTGGCTCTATGTAATACTACCAAGATGACAAATTCAACAGGAGGGCAAAAATTAACATCTATCTACGGTGTACACTACGAACCTGGGAATGAGATATTTACCAAAGCAAGGTTCAGTCAAATTTTGCAACACCGAACAAGTTGACTCACAAGTCAATGATTCAAGACTTCCGACCGCACGGCTAATCATTCCCAACCAGATCGATTCCCATCAAAATATTGCCAATTCATTACGTGTGATCCAGTATATCTTCATTCCTATGACCAAATCTCTCATACAATCAATCCCTGGTTTCGGATGACCTTCATGTACTAGCCCAGAAGAATATAAATATCCACTAGAGAAAAAATCGCAACGCACAAGCATTGGAGGCAAATATTCGGGATAAAACGGAGAGTTATCAGGACAGGTAGGTAAAATGATACTAGGATACTAGGGATGGATACAATCTTGGAAATCGGTAGATTTCGACTTTGAGAAAGAAGTCTTCACATTGAAAGGCTTTGTGCGCTACACGACTTCAATTGCCAGAGCATATTCGGCACTATAAACAGTGTCATGGCTAGATGATGCAGTGGTACACCATTTGAGTTGGTCACCCGAGTTGTCATAGGACACTAATCACGTGCTACAATGTACGCTTGGACCAGTGAGGAACCACTTTTATGTGTATATAGTATTGCGTTAGCCACCATGTCTTTCTCTCCTCATAGATTACAATCATATTATTGTTTTGCCTTTTAGTCAGAGTCTTTCCTGACCCTCATGCTATCACATTGATTGTAATCTCCATTTTAGTCTAAACCACTTGTAATCAGCGACGTCTCGCAATTATATGAGTAGTGACGACAATTTTAACCTTGAAGGTATTCTCCGTGAAATTTCTGCGATAGAAATCGACGCCTCAAGTGCAAATACAGAGTCTCACAGACCTGCCCTGGAACCAGAGCCACAGACGCCTGAATCAAAAATCGCAACAACTAAACACGAAACCAGAAATATTAAAGCCACAATGACAAACCAAACCGACGCAGTACAGCACAAGTTCACAACTTGGGATGGAACACCTGATCAATATTCTTTATGCTCAGTCATGTGGCGAGTAGCAGCGGAGGACCCAGCAATCATCAAGGGTTTTGGTGGTGAAAGAGGCGTCTGCCTTGCACTTATGCAGACGTTACCAGCGGAGCACAGAAGCCGAGTGGGGCCTTTCTTTGAGAAACAAGTTAAAGCTAAAGAATTTTACTCAAGTTCACTTCTCGACGAATTCGACCGGCACTTCGTTGATAGGGACCGTGAAGCTCGAAATCGACGCCTCCTTTACTCTGTGAGACAAGGAAACGCGCAACCTTTCGCAAAGTTCCTTCACACTTTCGAAGGTTATCTCAGCAATTCAGGTGAACTTGCTCCTATTGGAGTTTCTCGAATCCACACCCTATCTGAGGCCATTGCTCCGTATCTACGCCGGGCTGCAGCAAACCAGACAGATCTAGAAAAGCTGAACTATGAAAAATACGTCGAACAACTATCGACTTTAGCAACTAATTGGGAATCCTTGCCAGAATTTCAGGCTAAGAGTGTAGATGACACTGGAGAAACCTACACCGAAAATGCGATCGGAGACCTTCCTCTAAACATTCAAGAGCAACTACGAAAGCAAATAGTCAACCAAACAGAAACACAATTACAATCACAATCACCAAAACCCAGCGTAAACTCTCCAATACGTGACCGTGAGGGAGATATAAAAATGTCAGGGACTGACATTATTTCTATTGTTTCTACAGTTATATCAGCTATAAATAATGGAAACAATTCAAAAGGGTTTGGACAGGCTCGGCCACTAGATAAACGTCCAAATGCCCCTCATTGTTCCGAGGAAGAACGCCATCAGCGTCTCAAATCAGGTCGATGTATTCGATGCAATGTATTTCCATCGCACCGTTTTAGAGAATGCAAGTTTAAAGGTTTTCGCTCAGAAATGTCCAATCTAAGGATAGCTTCTGCATCAATAAGCGAGTCGGAAAACTAGCAGCCCCTGTACGAAGTCGTGTTCAGGGGAATGTTGGTGTGTTTGGAGAACTACTAGATCAAATACCACCTGCTAGCGAAATTAGGGAGGCTGTTGAAAGGTTGAATAGTAGTCCATTTTTAATTGATATTTTAATAAATTCTACTTGTTATTCCACCGCACTCTTTGACACAGGATGCCTACCCTACGCAGTTTTTGATCGTAGTTTTGCAGACCAGGCACACTTACCACGCCTTCCAGTCACCCACAGATCTCTAAAGCTCGCCAAAGATGGATCTCAAATTCCCATTACCGAAATGACTTGGGCTACACTTGACATTGACGGTAGAGCTGAAAGAGTATTTGGCTACATAGTAGCAAACTTACAATATAATATAATCCTCGGCAAAGGTTGGGCCGAGCGTAACAATGTAACATATGAAGCAGGTAAGAAGTTTCTCACTCTAGGAAGTGGCGCAAACGCAATAAAAGTCAAGGAGTCTGGATGGATGGAACGGGATGAGTTATCAGGCTCTATGCACCAACTACGTCAAGCAAAAAACGTTACAGCTTCAATATTTGCCGCGGAAATCCGTCGTGGAAGAAAAGCAAATAAACATCTACATTTATTCTCCATCACTATAGCAGATATCAACAA